GAAAAAGGGTAGGGAGACCTCGAAGTGGTAAGCAAGTTCGTCGGTGTAGTCAAAAGTCTCGAGGAGAGCAGGAGAAGGTTCAGGTAGCTGGAGCATGCTTTCTGTGTGGAGGAAATATAAACAGCCTTCGACCCTCTCCCCCCTCCTCTCTTCCTCCTCCTCTCCTCTCCTCCCTCCCTCCCTCCCTCCCTCCCTCCCTCCCTCCCTCCCTCCCTCCCTCCCTCTTCTCACCTTTGTTCCTGCCGTCCCGCCCTGGTGGACCGCGCGATCTTCCTTCGCGGAGGAACAAGCACAACCAGGAGGCGATCTCTGCTAGTGTCAGATGCTCCAGCCCCCCGTCCGCCACCACCGTCCCGAGGACAAGAGGATAGCCGTCTGCGAAAGCCGCGCACGCGTACCTGGAGGGAGGAAGTGAAGACCAGTACGGGAAGCGGAGGGAGAGCAGCAGAAATGACTGAGTATGAGAAGAGCGAACAAAATGTTGAGGAGAAGATAGTAGAGGAAGATGAGGAGGTCAAGGGGGAGGGAAGAGGAAGAGGAGGAAGATAGAGAGCAGGACAAGGACGACGACATGAAGGAAGAGGAGGAGAAAGAGAACAAGAACGAGAAAAAGGATGAGCACGAGTACCAGGAGGATCATAAGGGGGGAGGAGAGGAGAGGAGGAGGATGAAGGAGAGGAGAGGAGGAGGATGAAGGAGAGGAGAGGAGGAGGATCGTACCCGCGGGGAGTGAGTTTCTGTCCTGGAGCGAAAGGATCAGGAGGAGAGTTGGGGTCCGAGCGTTCGATGAATCCCATGTCAAGGAGCCACCCGTAGGCGTCCGCCCACTCCTTCCTCAGCTGCGTACGGCAGCTCTCGAGCTCTTTATCGACATCCAGGATGGCGACGAGGCGCTGGGATGCTGGAGTCATGCTGGGATGATGAACGTGGTTGGGAGGGAGGAGGAGGGGGTTTCAAGGGGGGGGGGGGGGGGGGGGAAGGGAAAAAAAAAAAAAAAAAAAAAGGGGGGGGGGGGGAAAAATAAACACGGGAGGGGAAGCCATTAAAGGGTAGTGGGGGGGGGGGGGGGGAAGGGGGCAGGTTTTTTCTTGTTAGGGTGAGTTCATCCCGGGAGAAAACATCGTCCATTGCCGTAGTTTTTTGTTTTATTTTCCACATCCTTGGCTGATTTGATCTCTCAATCTATGAGTATCTTTGAACCTTGAACTCTTGGCTGTTCTACCACCCGCGCATC